CGAATCAAGAGGGTTTAGGGTGTAGGGTGTAAGGTTTAGGGACGTTCCTTGGTGTGATCGTGGCTATCTTTGTCGCTACTGCTTGGTGTTGCTGCTGTTGGCTTTTTGTTGCATGTGGCAACGACCCGCAGCCAGCCAACAGTCTTAACTTCGGACTCAAAGTTTCCGAGAGTCTTGTTGTTAATGAGCTCAAAACCAGAAGCTGCAGATACACGCTTCGCAACTGTCACGTCTTGAAGCCCGCTGTTCAGCCTCTCTCAGATGGCAGGTCAACAACCGAGTGGCCTTCTTGGCTGATGCCGGATCTCTACATGTGGGAGTTTCAGAGAATTAGGGTACCTTATTTTGGGGTCCTTATAATAGGGATCCTATCATTTAGGATACTATATTAGGGTCCCCTATTTTCGGAAACCCCCATGTAGGAATGTAGGAACCCCTCCCTGGTCAGGCAACTATCTCTGGAATGGATACAGCAAGACCCTGCGCAGAAGAAACGCATCCGAACTTTAGCATAACCGGCAATAGCGGGGACTCCGAAACTAGCTTCATAGTGGTCTTGAAGTTCGCGAACCAGTTTGCAAGTATTAATGCTCCTGTAGGGTCTGCGTGGGTTGCCCCTGATTTTCTGAAGCACCCATGTTGGCCCGCAATTTTGCCAGCCACAGGGCACTCAAGACCGGCGATTCCTCCGTGAGGGCCAAGCCCAAGCAGATACCAAAGCCTGCGATCAAGGCACCATCGATGAAGAGATCCGGGCTGTCCAACTCAGGCTTCGGGGTAGGCGGTCTGGGAATTCGAACTTGTGACACGAGGTTATTATGTTTGTTTGACGTCGAAGGCTCTTATGTGTTGGCTAAACCCCTAAACCCGAACCCCCCCAAACCCTTAACCCCCTAAACCCCCCAACCCCCCAAAGCCCTAAAACCCTGAACCCCTTAGCCCTAACCCCCTAAACCCTAAAACCCTAAACCCCTTAACCCAAACCCCCTAAACCCTAACCCCCCGCAACCCCTAAACCCTTTAGGGTCTACGGATGTAGGATTCTGCCCGGATCGGAGCGGCTACGAGAGGCCTGCGATGGAGAGGACATCGTCCAGGGGGGCAGAAGCCACGACCTTAGCTTTGTGTGAGTCAGGATTTAGGATTTAGAGTCAGGATTTAGGATTTAGGGTTTAGGGTTTAGCGTTTAGGGTTTAGGAGTCAGGGTTTAGGAGGATTTAGGGTTTAGGGCTTTAGGAGTCAGGGTTTAGGATTTAGGGTCTAGGGTTTAGGAGTCAGGGTTTAGGATTTAGGGTTTAGGGCTTAGGGTTTAGGGTTTAGTCTAAGGGTACAGGGCACCATAAGGATACTGCAAATGGACTATAAGGATACTACAAAGGTACGGTAAGGGTACTATAGCTTATATTACAAGGGTACGAGAAGGGTAACTATGAAGGGTTCACTATTAAGCCAGTTACTATGAAGGGCTCACTGGCGAAGATTCTGCAAAGGTGTGAGGAAGGATCGCTACCATACTGCCTTGCACACCACTGCAGTTCAGCCCCCCGGTTTAGGGTTATTTAGGGTTTAGGGTTTAGGGTTTAGGGCGCAAGCACGATGTAGGATTTAGGATTTAGGGATTAGGGGCTTCAGGTTTCGGGTGCTCTTGTCCTGCAGATCAGAAGCAAGGCTTGGAATGCCGGTGCTGACGCCATATCCCCGCTCCTGCACTCCAGAGCATTGGGGTCCAAGGACTCTGTGCAGCTATACCAGGAAAGTTTCCTACCAACCCAAGCCGGAGAACCTTGCCATATAATGTTTGTGCATGAAGTCTAAATGGGAGCCAGATTGTTCATCGCTTGGGTGACTTGATGGGCTAGCTCCCGAACAAAGAAAATACCAGTTAACCCCCGTTGAACAGCAGGCAAATATATCCACAACTATACTAGTTACTAGATCCTCACTACAGATGTAGGTTGAACCCCCTAAACCCTAAACCCTAAACCCTAAACCCTAAACCCCTAAAACCCTACAACCTTGGAGCCCCCTTCCTGGAGGGAGAGAAGCGAAGGCACCACGACTGCCGGGGAAATCGCGGCCAAAACGAAGCCCAACATCGCAGCCCAAAGAACTGGCAAGTCCTCGAAGGCTCACGGGTTTTAGAAGTGTAAGACGGTTTAGGGTTTAGGGGTTGAGGGGTTTAGGTTGGTTTTAGGGTTTAGGGTTTAGGCTTCAGGGGTTTAGGGTTGGGTTTTTAGGGTTTAGGGTTTAGGCTTCAGGGGTTTAGGGTTTAGGCTGGAGGGGTTTAGGGTCTAGGGTCCCTATACCGAAACCGTGGAAACCCCCACAACCCGAGACTAAACAAACCCTGAACCCCTTTGAGGCCTCTAGAGCTATTGACGTTTAGGGATCAGCCCATGCAGCTCAGAGACTGTTCACAGTTCCCAGCTCCGAAAACTGTTAGAATACTAAGGTTTCGGGGTCGATTATGGTATATCTCATAATGTCTATGAGGGGACAATGAGAATAGGGTGCTGGGGTGCGCTATACAATGACCATACATACTTGAACCTGTACGGGGATCATATCGCTGACTATTCCCACCCCTACATTCCCGACATCGTCGCCCTGCCGTTCTCGTTGCCAAACGTGAGGGCTCTTCGTTCCAAAGCACAGGCCCCTCAGCCGGATAAATACAAACTCCTAAATCCTGCATTACGGTATATTCCTTATTCTGTATTTTGGGTAATGCAGGATGTATATCATCAACTGTAAACTTCGAGGTTTGGGGTTTAGGGCTCTTGTCACCCTACACCACGGACTTTAATTGATTCGGGTTTAGGGTTTAGAGGTTTGGGGCTTAGGGACTGAATTTAACCCCTAAGCCCTAAGCCCCCCTCAGCCCCCCAAGTCCCTGAACCTCAACCCCAAGTCTTCCCAAGAAACCCTCAAAGGGTCTTGGGGGACGAAACTCTAAACCCCACAAACCCCCCTCAAACCCCCTAAAACCCTAAACCCCCAAACTTCTAAACCCCCTAAACCCTAAACCAAGGTTATTGCTTGTTTCTGTTCCGGGGAGGGGGGGGGGGCTTGGGTTTAGGGTTTGGAGCTCAAGGCTCCTGGGATCTCATGGGCATCGGTGCTTCAGCTTTCGGGGCTGTGGCTGTGGTAGGGCAAGCTGGACGGGTAGGGCCCAAACCATACACAACTTTGTTTAAAACCTTAAAACCTTCAACCTAGAACCCTGGACCCTAACTCTAAACCCTAGATACCCAGAACCCTAAACTCTAAGCCCTGAAGCCTATAATCCTTAAACACAAAACCCTATATACACCCCGAGCCCTTAAACCCAGAAACTCTAAACCCAATATAAGCCTTAAAAAACAAAACCCTACGCCCCTAGCCCTTAAACCCAGAAACTCTAAACCCTATATAAACCTTAAAAAACAAAACCCTACGCCCCGAGCCCTTAAACCCTAAACCCTAGGGTTTAGGGTTTAGGGTCATAAACCTTAAACTATACCATAAACCCAGAACTCCCGTCTCCAGCAGGGCCGATGCCAGCGCCGCTGCTGTTGCCGCCTCCGAAAGGCAAGGCGCTGCTGCGAGGCGCGGGACCTTGGAGATTTTTGGGTTTAGGGGTTTAAGGGGTTTAGGGGTTTAGGGTTTAGGGGTTTAGGGGTTTAGGGGTTTAGGGTTTAGGGTTTAGGGGTTTAATTAGGGGTTTAGGGTTTAGGGTTTAGGGGTTTAGGGTTTAGGGTTTTGGGGTTCCCTTTAAGCTCAGGGCTTGGGGTCTTTAGATTGGGATTGGAGGTTTACAGCGAGTTTATTGAATC